ACACACCTGCCCCAGGCTCTGGGGAGCAGGTGTGGAAAGCCGTGGTGGGATGGAGGGTGGGCTGGGAGCACCAGGTGACGGTGTCCCCTGGAGCTAGCTTCCCCCGCCCAGGTGGAGCGGGTGAGCTGGGCCTGTGCAGGGCAGCAGGACCGGGCAGGAGTGTGCGACACAGCCATGGCCATTTTCTGGACAGGTTTCATTTATTGTGCGTGAGGACCACACAGACACTGACGGCGGAGACGCTAGCATGCTGAGGACACCTGCTTCTACGGAGCCACAGGTCTCGGCCGTGACCGCAGGTCTCAAGGGACATGGCTTTCAGTGTCAAGGTCCAGTCCCTGGTGCCCACGTCCACCTGTGGGAGGCCAGAGGGCTCTGTATGCAGCCTGCGCCTGCTGGACGGCACAGGGTGTGACCTCTCTGCAGGCCACATCCAGCAGCTCCAGGTGACCTGGGGACACATCCCCTTCCCTCCAGGGGCAGCAGCCAGTGTGCCGTGGAGGTGGCCCTGGGTGGCTTTCTTCACTTGGTATTGCTGATAGCTTCTGTCAACAAAACCAGCCACCTGCATACAGACATGCAGAGACTGACCTTAGGCCGGGAGAACAGTCTGGATTTGAAGGTAAACGTGATTTTAAAAAGCCACTCCCTAACAGGAAAAGTGTCCACAGATGTGACGGTGCCCGAGAGAAACGACACCCAAGGGCCAGCTCCAGGACACGCGGGGTGTCTGCAGGCTGCCTGGCGGCTCCCACGTGCCGGGGCCCTCGAGCTGTGGCACGTGGCTTACAAGGAGCAGCCTTCCTCCCATGGCCTGGAAGTCCCCAGTGAGGTGACCATGAGCTGACCAGGAAGCCAACAGAGTGCCCAGTCCCACGTTCCAGAGCCCAGCCGTCCATGGCCAAACTGACGAGGGGTGCCAGGTGGGCAGGGCGCTCACATCCAGCCTGGCCACTCCCGGGAAAGGAGTGGCGCCTCGGCGTCTCCCCGACTCTCCTTCTGCACACTTTGACAAACAGGACACTTGGCTTTTAAAATCTGAGCAAAGTAAATGACCCAGGCAGCTATCGTGAGCACAGGGGTCCACACCGTGTATGTACAGTCACCGGGTCCCTCTCCCCAGAGCAGGGGTGACAGCAAGGTCGTGTTCCAGGGTGGCCGCAGGGGAGGAGCCAGCCAGTGGACCCCTGTGCAGAGACGGGACAGACTGGAACCTCACCACGAGGATCTCTGCTGTTCTCACAGGACGCAGGACGCAGGACGCAGGACGCAGGGCGAGCCCTCGACGGGGCGTGGGGCGGTGAGAAGTCAGAGGTGGAGCCTCGCGCTGCGTTCTCAGTAGAGGTGGGGGTGGGAGTGGCCCTCTTTCTCTGGAAACGTCAATCTCCCTCCTCTGTCTCCCTGTGGCAAGAGGACTGCCCTGGTCATCCGTGGGCTCCGTTTACACCAGGAGCCAATGGCGCAGCTGCAAGGAGGACATCTGGTCAGAAGCAGGTGGCAGCCCTGGGCCCAAGCAGCTCCTGGGCCCCACCCGCTGGCTCAGGGCCGCCCCTGCCAGCCACCTGCCCACGGGAGCCAGCGGGGTGCAGGATCAACACTGTTCCCAGGGCCTGCTTTGAACCTGCGACTCAGCGGCAAAGCCAGGGCCAGGCCTGGCGGGGGAGGCCACAGCAGCCTCTGGGCACATTAGAGACAGCAGCTGGGGTGGGGAGATGCTGGCCTCAGAAATGTGACCTCCCGCAACCTGTGAGTGACCCAGTGGTGTCCCTCCCCGGCACCCAGCACTTCCCTGGGGCCCTACTCCTCCATCCCAGTGAAGCCCTGTGCTCTGCTACCAGCCTGGCCGTGTGACCCGCCACGTGGGGAGCGGGCCTCCTGGTGGCCCCAGGTGGAGGACACTTGGGGGTGACTGTGGCACTGCAGCCGCTGCCATCGCTGTTACCGTGCAGCTACTAGTTTGGCTGTTTCTGAGTGAGAGCCGGTTGGTGACATGATGGCCAGAACGCTGTTTTTAAATATTCTCTGAGCAAAAGCTTGGTGGCTTGTTTCTGACCCCACGGTACCAGAGGGGGGAAGCGGGAACTGGCCCTCTGGCCATGGAGGGCCTCTCTGTCCCTTCCACTGGGAACCCTGAGGGGCCACCTCTGCTGGGTCAGGACACACCCCGCGTAGCGGGGCGTGGGGGGCTGCGGGGGCCTGGGGCAGCTGCAGGTGACGCCAACATAGGTACTGTCCAGGTGTGTCATGGCGCCCAGGGATGGCAGTGGTGGCAGGACCTGACTGGAGTCACAGTCAGGAGGGCCCAGTGGCCAGAGTCCAGCACAGCAGCTCTGGGTGGCACTCCCTTCAGATCACGAGGAGGGACGTTGCTCTTGGACCAACCGTGGGACTCACCTCAGTGAGAGTGGCCCTCTCTCCTTGCCACCTCCAAAAGCAGAGTGACCCTCTCTGGAGGGAGGGGCATTGGGGGTGACTCTCGAGTTCCCACAGACTGTGGTCAGGCCACAGACTTGCAGATAAAAAGGCCAGAAATAGGAGGCAGGCCAACTCTGAGAGGGGGTCGGCAGGAATCAGAGGTCAGCAGAGCCAAGGACCAGAGTCTGCAGGGTCAGATGACAGGACAGCTCCAGGCGGTCGGGTGTCCCAAAGAGGGACAGAGGCCCATGACAACATGCTCACTGCACAAGAAGCAGGCAGGCCAAGCGCAGCCACAGAGCTGAGCCGGAGGTAGCTGCCAGTCAAGGGTGCACGCAGGGCATGCTGGCTTGTCAGCGCAGCAGGTCACACGTGTGGCCACGAGGGTCCTCCCAGAGCCACAGGCACATGACTTCTAGCCGAGGTAGACTCAGGGCCAAGTCTCCCCTCCCACCTGAAATGCCCTCAGAGTGAATGGCACACACACACCAATGGCTTGGAGACCTGGAGTCAGATGGCCAAGGTCGGGGTTGTCCCCATGCCAGGGCCAGCAAGCAGCTGTCCAGTGCATCCTGCCTGCTGCCTGGAGGGACCTTGTGGACTGTGGTGCAGGGAACGGGAGGCCAGGTGGAGCCCTCAGGGCTGCCTCTGTGGGGGCCCACAGCACTGAGCTTGCAGGCGCCTGAGAGGTGACTGCACAGGGGTGCCCAGGCTGGACCCAGCACCCACAGTGCACGCAGAAGTGGGGAGAGCCTCTGATGCGCTGCAGGGAGCCACCTGAGGCTGGGCAGGGCTGTAAGCCTCACGGCGGCCGGGCCCTGGGCGGGAGAGCTCAGGGTGGCTGGCTAGACAAGCTCTGGTCGACCTGTTTC